TTTTCTCTGTTGGAGTGGAAGCATCGTCTGATTAATCTATGAGAGAGAAAAAGCAACATGTTTTCTTGTGAAATAGGATTCAGCTATCGCTCCGTGTACAAGTACTCACTCTTTGCAGAAAACCTAGATGGAACGTATATTAACTCGAACAATGGCACGAATTTCTGAAACATTAGCTAATTTAACCGAATTAAGAGCAGCACTTGAAAGATAAATTCTGAATATTTCAGATGACTCGTTCCAATTAGGAAATGTGCAGCATTCCGGCCAAGAAAGCCTGTAAACAGGCTCCCTCTGGTAGGGTCTGACAGCGGCTAGAATGGGGTCAAGAAGGAACTGGCGCCTATCGTGTACTTAACCCAAATATACACCATTACTCACTCTGTGTTTCATTTGGCTATTCAAGAAGAAAACATAATGTGAAAGAATTCTTCGCCTCATCCTCGACTAGAGAGCCTGCTCACAGGCTGACCAAGACTGCCGTTAGGATTGAGAATCATTTCTAAGATTTCCACATTTTCAGCTAAATAACAAACGCCTTAAAGAAACTACAAGATATTACAAACTTATAACTTGATGCCAAAAAGGTTGGGAGTCTAATTATTCGCGCGGTTACTCTTACACTGAGCGTTAATCAATTTTAACAAGTAATAAAGTGTAATTCAAGATAATTATTTTGCTCATTTTTCTTTAATTTACCTTCCTCATTTGATTCCTCCGTGTCGCCCAACTCTTCAGTCTGACATTTTATCCACCAGCTAGAGAAGGGAGGGAAGATACTATGGTTATTGAAAGGCGTATCAGGCTATTGGAAACGGGTTCGAAAAGGCATATGAATAAGGCTGGTGGCAAAACATTGAATTAGTTAGGCACTTTGTCATGTTATCTTATTGTCAATGTTCATAAATGAAACATGATCGCGTTTTAATTAAAAGACCATCAAACAAACAAGTTCCACTAGAAATTACAACAAAACGACAACAGCAAACTATGGTAATAAAGGGTGCGTTCCTTTGAGATGATCTGGATCAGGATGAATAATCTAAGATTACTCAGATCATGGTACATCAAAGGAACCGATGAATCCAAGACCAGAGTGGCTTAATCGGTTCCTTTGATGTACCATGACTTGAATGATCCTGATACAGATCACACCAAAGGGACGCACCAAAAGACAACAACAACGACAGTTCATCAACAATAAGACCAAATTAGGGCTTCGTCTTACATCGATAATTTCTTGATCGCTGGGCATCTCGTCTTCTGCAAAAGTCATTTCAAAATGTTTTAAGTTTATGGTTACAGATTTATTAAGTGTATTTCAACATAATTATCTTGATCATTCTTCTTTTATTTACCTTCATCTTTTGATCGTTCCTTGCCGTCCAGCTCCTCACTTGAAGAGCTATTCTGGTCTGACATTTGATCTACCAGCTAGAGAGGAGAGGGGAAGACATTATGGTTATCGACAGGCGAGTCATGATACTTGAAAAGGGTCAGGGAAAGGCATATGAATAAAGCTGGTGGCAAAACAGTGAATAAGGTGGGCACTTTCTCACGTTATCTATTGCCGATGTTCTTAAATGAAACGTGGTCCCGTTTTGGTAAGAAAACCAATAAACTAGCAAACAAAAATTAATCAAAACCTCTTCCCAATGGTAGCGAATAAAAAAGTTCTACTAGTAATTACAACAAAAACGATAACAATAACAGCAACAAACTATAGCAATAAAGGGCGCGTTCATCTGGGGTGATCTGGATCAGGATCAGTGATGCAAGATTACTCAGATCATGGTGCATCAAATGAAGGAACCGATGAACCCTAGACCAGAGTGGATTCATCGGTTCCTTTGATGTAGCATGATTTGAGAGATCTTGATCCAGATCACACCAAAGGAACGCATCAAAAAACAACAACACAATAAAAGAACAAATTAGAGCACTATCTTACATCGATGATTTCTTGATCGTTGGGCTCCTCGACTTCTGCAAAAGTCATTTCAAATTATCAAAAGTAAGTTTATGGTTATGGATAAATACGTTACAAATTAATTCATCATAATTCCTCTTCTAAGGGTCAATCAATTTAAACAACCAGTAAAGTGTAATTCAAGATAATTATTTTGATCATTTTTCTGTTATTTACCTGCCTCATTTGATCCCTCTATGCCGTTCAACTCTTCAAATGAGGAGCTACTCTGGTCTGACATTTGATCTACCAGCTAGAGAGGAGAGAGGAAAGCATTGTGGTTATAGACAAGTGAATTGACACTTGAAATGGGTTAGGGAAAGGCATATGAATAAAGCTAGTGGAAAACAGTGAATTAGGCGGCGCTTTTTCAGGTTATCCCTTGTCGATCATTGTTCTTAAATGAAACATGGTCCCGTTTTGATTAGAAAACCAATAAACTAGCAAACAAAACTTAATCAAAACCTCTTCCCAGAGACAACGAATAAACAAGTTCCACTAGAAATTACTACAAAACAACAACAACAAACTGTAGCAATAAAGCGTGCATTTATTTGGGGTAATCTAGATCAGGATCTGTGGGCAAGATCACTCAGATCATGGTGCATTACAGGAACCGATGAATCCTTGATCAGAGTGGATTCATCGGTTCCTTTGATGTACTATGATCTGACTGATCTGGAATCACTGATCCTGATTCAGATCACACCGAAAGAACGCACCAAAAGGCAACAACGTAAACAACGACAGGCCAACAACAATAAGACCAAATCAAGGCATCATCTTACATCAATGATTTCTTGATCGCTGGGCATCTCGTCTTCTGCAAAAGTCATTTCAAAATGTTTTAAGTTTATGGTTACAGATTTCTCTGATTTCTTGCTCTTTCAACACTCTTTCCTTCCTTACCCCTGTTCCCCGAGAGACATCAAAATCTGAACAATAATTAAATAATGATAATGAAAAGATTTTCCTTAACATCAGTTAATTAACCAAATTAAGAGAAGTACTCAGTTCAAATTCGCACACACGAGTGGGAACAGGAAGAATTGCTAAATGGAACGGAATATTTCTGATGACTCGTTCAAGCTAGGAAAAGTGCAGGACTTCAAAATAGCGGCCTGCGGACAGGTCCCGGCTCGCAGGGTCTGGCCGCGGCGGCGCGGCTGGAAGAGCCAAGATGCAACTGGCGCCTATCGTGACTTCGTACTTGGCCAATAACTCATATATACATCATTACTCACTATGTGGTTCATTTCGCCGCTTGAGAAGAAAACATAATGTGAAAGAATTCTTCGCCCATCCTCGACTACAGAGCCTCTTCACATGCTATCTAAGACCGCCTCCAGCTAAATGATGAGCGCTCAGTTTTAAGAAACTACAAGCTTATAACTTGAAACGAAAAACGAAGGAGCGTCCTAATATTTGCACGTTTACTTTTTACACTAAGCATTTACTTATTAAATTTTTACTAACAATCAAGAACAATTCAAGATAATCATTTTGATCATTTTTCTTCTATTTACCCTCCTCATTTGATTCTTCCATGCCGTCCAGCTCCTCAGGTGAAGGTCGAGAGTCTGCAGCCATTCGATCTACCAGCTAAAGAGGAGAAGGAGAGACATTGTGGTTACAGACAGGCGAATTGGCGCTGGAAAGGGGTTAGGGCAAACAGTGAGGTGGGTACATATAGGTCAGCTCTCAGGTTATTTAGTGTTTATTGCAACGTAGGGCGGTTTTAATAGGAAAACCGATAAGCAAAAATTAATCTTAACATATTCCCAGTGGCAGCGAATAAATAATTTGCACTAGAAATTGCTATAAAAACGACAACAACAACAAAAAACTATAGTAATAAAGAGGACAACAACGACGAGTCAATGACAATAAGACCAAATTAGCCATCATCTTACATCGGTGATTTCTTGAGCGTTGGCCAGCTCCTCTGCTGTAATTGTCCTTTTATGGTTACAGATTTCTCTGCTTTCTTGCTTTTTCACCAGTCTCTTCGACTGCACCCCTGTTTCCCGAGAGACAACAAAATTTGAATTCTAACCACACCATGATGAATACAATATTTTCTAGTCTACCTCTGCGCTATTTGCGCTATATAGCAAAAAGAAAAAAAATCTGCCCTATATAGAGCAGCTGGCGTGTAAATTACGATGATGCATAGGGAGAATCACTATAATGATCTTTGTCAAGCTTTCAAGCTATTAAGTGACAATCCCGAAACGCAGTGGACTTCCACTTAATGCATATAATGGCGACTGTACTGTTAGTCTTCAATCAACTTCTTCCTAATTATTACCCTCGGCTCTGCCTTCAGTTCCACTTTCTTCTGCACCTTCGTCTGCGAATTTTTCCAGTTCGGGTTTCTCGACATGTTGGTCTACTGCCATAGCATTCCAAGCCGCCAAGAACCAGTGTGTATGAGGAAAAGGGAACATCCCTGTAAAATAAAGTAGAAGACACTGTATGAAAGCTCGGGCTAAAAGGCATTAGTTATGTAACTCGAAAAAGTTGCCGAAACACTCGTCCTTGGCTCCAGTTCCACAGTATTTCTCGCGTTCTCCCAAACCTGCTTTCACTCGTTCTTTCAAAACTATACGAAACATGGTTTTTATTTATCGACGCCAACACAGGTGGCAGCAGAGAATACAACAGAGACGCGGCAGCCGATCGAAAAAAAAAAAAAAAAGACAAAAATCGAACAAGAGTTCAATAAGGGAAAAATAAATGAAGTGTGTTTGAATCAAAATATCAAACGCGTGAGACCCTTTTTACCACATTTCCAAACATCGAGAAGAGAGTTACGACAAAATACGGCGCAAAGCAGAGTAAGTAAATTAAAATGGATTGAGAAAGGTCATTTGGGGCGAGAGGAAGAGCAAATTCACTGTGCCTGCGAGATAGAGGGTTACACATGACGTTGAGGAGCTCAACGATTTCTTAACATGCCTTCAAAACGTAAGCTTGCCATCAGACTGTACAACATGTATTTAGGCGACGTGACCGAAGCATCGGTCCAAGCAGTTGTTCCTTCCACCGAATGGACTTCACCAGTACCACTAGAGGCCACTTCCTTCCCCGGAATTCACCCTACGAGGTTGGCTCCCTACCTGTTGATTTTCCCAGCACAAGTGTCTCGAATGCAGGGTAGGCTGAGTTTGGACGAGCTCGAGTAACCAACGAAGACTTCTGTAATGCAGGTTTTGTGATAGGTCCAGGATCCATCATTTCGTCTACCATCTGAAATAAATAGAATCAGAATGAGTAATATGACTTTAAATCTTTAATTGTTAACACGGAGGGAGGAAAATCCCAGCATTAGAAAGATCCTATGATACTATGGGCGTTCAGCTGATAAACCTTGTTTATCACTGTTATTTGTGTTATATTTTAGTTAATCCAGCTTCAGTTAAGAAAAAGAGTTTTTGATACACCGAATGTTGTTTTGCGATACGTTCAGATCAGAAAATGACAAACGCTTAGGGATTCATAAGGGACAAATACATTCCGACATATAATTTTGCTTTGGTTTTCAGTAAAACCCTCTTTAATTTTATGTCAGTTGTTTTCTTTGAAAATTATTTAAGATAGCTGGCCTTTGTCGTAAGACCCTGAAAAAGTTTCAAAACTCATGTAACAGACTCACGACGAAATCTTGACACTTGTTGCCAAATCTGAGCGTCGATCAATTTGAAAATTCATTACT